AAAAAAAAAAAAAAAAAAACACTCTTTCAAGACCAGCACATCAAAAATCTTAACATGAATAAATGTAAATTCATTTATGAAAAAAACTTCTAAAGGATCCTTCTATTTATCCCTGATGCACCCCTCAAAAGACCCCGCTGTCAGTGCTTCTGGATGCAGATATTCCTATCACAAACACACACAGGGTATCCCCTGACATCCTGTGTGACACTCAAGGCATACAGCCTTACCTCCAAATACTGGCCGACACAAAATGCATGCATGGATTCCCGGGTGTCTTCAAACTGCAAAGCAGCTTCCAAAGCTACCACTGGGTCTTCCCCTGCAAACTGAGCTGAAACAAAAAGGAAAAAAGCAACATGAGTTCAATTCAATTTACCTAAAGAGCTTTAGTAGAAACAGTGAGTAGGAAATAAGTTAGGCGCTTAACTCAAAGGTGAGGGTTAGCAGAGTATGATGACCTCCCACTGTCTCCCAGAGTTGCCTGCGTCAACTCAGAACTTGAAATGAGTTCCCAGTATTAAAACAAAAAATGCATAATGATAGGAAATTCCTCAAATGTGCTGAATTTGTTGATAAGATAAACACCAAAGTTACAGATACATTAAAATATGTGGGGGCTAGCACAAAACTAAGCCAAATACTCTGCTTAAAATGACACATGCTGTAACTTCTAACCATTAAACAGGAAGGGTAGCCTTACCGAGAATACTATTTCCTGTTAACGACTGAGTCTGGAAGTCCTTTATATCATACACTTTCCCATCAATCACAGTCCAGAAGCCTCCATCTTTATTATGGTTCTCCAAATCAGCTTTGCGTATCAGTGTCACTTCCTCATTATTTCTACAGTTCTGACCTGAAAAAAATGACTCTGTATATACAGAAAGTGGAATCAGTCCATCGATCAATAGGTAAAATGAAAAGAACAAACTGTGTGAAAGAACTACATGCAAAAATAAACAAATCCACAATCACAATGGGAGAAATACATTCCTAGCTCTGTAACTAACACCACAAATACAAATTCTATTAAATATAGAACGCTTTAAAAAGCATCCAGGCAGCGTGAATATCAAATATGGCCATGCCAGGCCACAGAGCAACTCTCAATCGGTTTCAAATAAAGAAAGTTACAAAGCATGTATGCAGACTACAATGCAGTTAAATTAGAAATACATTTTTAAAAATTTATCCCAAATAAATAAAAATATCCATCCACATATTTGAAAATTACAAAATATATTTATAAGTAACCCAAAATTCCAAGAAAAAAAATGACTATGAAAATTAGAAAATGTATTGAAATTAATGATAATAAAAATATCGCAAATCAAAATTGGTGACATACAGCTAAATGTATGCTTGAGGGTATTTACGCCTTTAAATGTATATATTGGGGGGGAAAGCTAAAAAAGAAAAAAAAACACCAAACCAATAAAAGTCTATTCATTCATAAAAATACTCAAAAAAAAAAAAAAAAAGAAAGAAAGAAAACCCGAGTAGTGGTCACCTTTGGAAGCACTAGGATATCAACTCAATATTATGCAAAAGAGTTAAAAGGGGTGGCACTTCAGTAAGTCAAGCCTAGATCATGTCCTTCCTGAACAAACTGTAGCTCCTGGTCACCAGGCAGCTGAGGGAAAGGTTGGTCGGGGATTTTATGGAGGACATACAACACATGAATTCCCCGGTCTATCTTCACAGAACTAAAGCAGGGAGCCACTGAGCATGACAGGCCTCCGGAGCCAAGAGAACGCATGCAGCATGACTTCAGACATAACACGGACCCAACAAGACCGATTTCAAATCCAACCAAACCTCTAGATCTAACCAGCAGACTAGAGAAATGAAACTCATAGAAGAACATGTTGGACTAGAGTACGAGAATGCAATCAACCAAGTTCAGAAAACGAGAAGTTCCCCAAAATAACCAATCTGCTTCTTTGAAAAAGAAAACAGAACGATCAGAGACAGGGAGAGGGGGGCCTGGAGCCATGTTGTTAGAGGAAAGAGCCTAGACGCATATGTCAACCAATGCCAACACAAAGAACTTGCTCAGGTCCTCATTCAAAATTACCACCTAAAAAAGGCATTTTTGTGATAGTCCAGGACAATGTAACACGGGCTGCATGACAGATTAAAGAATCACTGTTACTCTTATGGATAATGATATTGTGGTTGGTTTTTTGTTTTTTGTTTTGTTTTGAGACAGAGTCTTGCTCTGTCGCCCAGGCTAACATGCAGTGGCGCAATCTCGGCTCACCGCAACCGCCACCTCATGGGTTCAAGTGATTCTCCTGCCTCAGCCTCCCGAGCAGCTGGAACTACAGGCGCACACCACCATGCCCAGCTAATTTTTATATTTTTAGTAGAGATGGGGTTTCTCCATGTTGGCCAGGCTGATCTCAAACTCCTGACCTCATGATTCACCTTCCTCAGTCTCCCAAAGTGCTGGGATTACAGGTGTGAGCCACCGTGCCTGGCCTTGTGGGTTTTTTTTTTTAAGTTACCTCAGGCCACACACAAAAACTGATTCGAAATGGATCAGAGACCTAAAAATAAGTGCTAAAACTATAAAATATTCCAGAAGAAAACAGGGGAAAACCTTCACGGCACTGAATTTGGTGATGCTGACTTGAATAGGACACCAAAAGCAGCACAGGCAACAAAAGGAAAAAGCAGGTAAGTTGGATTTGATCAAAATCACACACTTCCGTGCATCGAAGGAGGGAGGCTATCAAGAGTGAAATGGCAACCCAAAGAATGCAAAACAGATTGCCAATCATATATATCCAGAACATGGAATGAACTCCCAAAGCCCAACATGACAAAAAACCGCCTTAAAACCTGGGCAAAAGACTTGAATAGACATTTCTCCCAAAAAGGTATGCAAATGGTCAATAAGCACATGAAAAGATGCTTGACATCACCAATCATTAGCGACATGCAAATTAAACCACAAGGAGATACCACTTCACACCCCGTTATGGCTGCTATCAAAAAAAAAACAGAAAATAAACAAGCATTGGTGGGGATGTAGAGAAACTGAACTCCTGCACGCTACCAATGGGAACGTAAGATGGTACAGCCACTCTGAAAAACAGTACAGCAGCTCCTTAAAAAAATTAAATATAAAATTACCAAATCATCTATCAATTCTACCTCTAGCTATATACCCAAAAGAAGTAAAAGCAGGGATGCAAATGGATAATATACACACCCACACTCATAGCAGCGTTAGTCACAATAGCCAAAAGCTGGAAACAACCCAAGTGTCATCAACTGATGGATGGACAGCAAACTGTGATCTATTCATATAATAGAATATGATTTCACCTTAAAATATAAGAAAATTCAACTATGCAGCCATAAAAAAAGGAGGAGTTCATGTCCTTTGCAGGGACATGGATAAAACTGGAAACCATCATTCTCAGCAAACTGACACAAGAACAGAAAACCGAAAACCAAACACCACATGTTCTCACTCATAGGTGGGTGCTGAGTAATGAGGACACATGGACACAGGGAGGGGGACATCACGCACCGGGGTCTGGGGGTTGGGGGCTAGGGGAGGAGTAGCAGGAGGTGGGGGGACTGGGGAGGGATAGCATTAGGAGAAATACCTAACGTAGATGACAGGCTGACGGATGCAGCAAACCACCATAGCACATGTATACCTACGTAACAAACCAGCACGATCTGCACATGTACCCCAGAACTTAAAGTATAATAAAAAAAAAAAAAGTAAGGAAATTCAGACACCTTCTACAACACAGGTGAAACCTGAAGACATGCTAAGTGAAATAAGCCCATCCAAAAAGGATAAATACTGTATGGTGCCACGTGTATGAGGTACCTGGATTAGCCAAATTCACAGAGACAAAGTAGAATGGTAGCTGCCAGGCGCTGGGGAAACTGGTGTTTAATGGGTATGGAGTTTCAGTTGGGAGAAATGAAAAGTTCTGGAGATGAGCAGTGGTGACAGCTGTGAAACAACGTAAATGTACTTAACGCCACTGAACAGTACACTTACATGGCAATTTTTTTTGTGGGGGGCCAGGTGCTAAAGCAAAAATTTATTAAAATTCATTTATATAGTGTTTTATAGACAAAAGTAGAGTCTTCAACATTCAGGCAATCACCTGTATTTTCAGAAGTGCTTTATGAGGAGATGGATTTCCTTCCCCTCCCCACAATAAGATATTTCTGTCTATACTCCTAAAAATGATGCCTTTATTTACACAACCTTTTTAAGAACAACCACTTTTCAATCCCAAAACCTGGGCAGAGAGTGAAAAGAGACAAACAGAGCCTTCTCCAACATGGTAGTCCTCACAACAGAGGTGTGATGCAAGAAATACATGAAACGGCAGCTCTTCAGAGGAGCGTGTGCACACCCAGCAGGTAGGCCACCCCTCGCTGTGGAGTGTGGCCAGCCGGGACCGCATGGCCTCCAGAGCTTCTTCCTCCTCCTCGTCCTCTGAGGCGGCCATCGCTCCTGAAGGTTCTGGCTCTGGAAGGGCATCAGTCACTTTACCAGGTGCTTTGCCCAAGGCCCCTGCTGTAATTTCAAACAGAATTTTGTCAATTTCCATTTCTGCTTCTTCCTCCATTTCTTCCTGATCGTCCATGCTTTCGAAAGTGTCCTCTAACATCTCTGTGATCCCAGCCTTCAGCATTTCTTTGGACAGCTCCCTCATGGTGGCCTGAATTTCTGGAATCTTCACAAGACTTTGCACGGCCCTCATCACTTCTGTGCTCTTCTGGAGGGAACCAGCCACTCTCAAGACCGCGAGCTGGTTCCTCATCCCCATGAGCACCGAGTTCATGTGTGCTTTGGATGCATACAGCTTGCTCATGGCCGTCCCTGACCTGATCATGGCCCTGGCCAGAGCTGTGCAGACATCCTTCTGGCCCTTCTTGGCTGCATCTTTCACAGATCGTTTCACGTCTTCTTCTTCTCTTTGGATATCCCTTATTTGCCTGTCAACAACTCTGATTTCCTTTCAGTGACCATTCATTGACCAGTTATTTTGGTGGCTTCTCCTGGGTTTTAACCAACAGCCCCATGGTGAATTGAACTCATCTTGCCCGCTCCGGCTTTCCGTTCCCCACGCCCAGGCAGGTCACCGGCAGCTGCCTGGGTGGGGCCTGCGGGGAGCTTACATGGCAAATTTTACCAATCTTATATACACCCTTCCAAGAAAAGAATAGGAACAAACATTCTCCTACTCACTCTATGAGACTAGCACAACCTTGGTTACAAAAACCTGAATGTCTATTACGTTTTCCTGCCAGTGGATCCATCAGCCAGTATCTCCCCCAGCTCGCTAACATTCTCCGGTGGAGAGACGGAAACTAGCAGGGCTGCATGGGCATCACCCTCTTCCTGATTTGCAGCTGCTCTGTTAGTAAAGGGGTGGTGGTCATCAATACCAGTAACTTACAGGGCATTATAAGAAAAGAAAATTGGAGGTCACCAAAAAAATCACAAGGAAAATGGCATGCAAAATCCAGAAAAATTACAAATACAAATGCAAAACTGTCTTTAAAAAATAGCAAACCAAGACCAGAAATATGTATCCATATAACCAATATTATGATCAAAGCAGTTTAATTCCAGAAATGGAAGACTGTGTCAACATTTGAAAAGTCAGTAATTCACACATTAACAGAAAAACATAAAAATTCTATGATCAAGTAATGCAGGAAAAGCATTTGACGAAGTTTAACAGAAACAGAAGAAAACATCCTTAAGATTCAAAAGTACTTAAAAAGAGACTCCTAAAACAAACATCATACTTCGTGTGTGAAATCTGGAAAGCTTTTTCTCTGCTACTAAGAAAAAGGCCAGGAAGCACACTGTCACCATTTCTACTCCACAACACACTACAGGTGCCAACAAGTGCAGTCAGTCACTGAGGGAAAAGCTGCCAGACCAGAAGAGGCACAAGTACAGACAATCACTTGGTTCAGACAAAGGCGGCACCCCAGAATAGTGCCCATGGACAGTCTTTTCATCCAAAGGAGCTGGCACAAGGACGCTATGGACAAAATCCCTATGGGAAAAATATGACATGTGACCCCAATCTCACAACATGCACAAAAATCAAGTCCAATTGTACTACAGCTCTTAACATGAAAGTTAATGCAATAAAACTTTAAAGTATAAAAGAAAATCTGGGGAAGAAAAAGATTTCTTAAGAACCAAAATGAATAACCACTGAAGTAGAAACAAACTGGATTTCACTAACTTCTGTTCATCAGAAAGCACCTTTAAGTGGCTGCACAGGCCTGAGTGAGGGAGAAAGCTCTATGAGAAAGAGAGCCAGGAGTTCATGTCCCAAACACACAATGACACTCACATGAATGACTGAAAAGAAAAAAAGGTAACCAGATAGAAAAATCGGTACAAAACTTCAATTGGCACTTCACAAAAAAGAATATCCAACTGATTAATGCACATATGAAACGGTATCAAACCTCACTAATAATCTAGAAAATGCAATTGAAACCACAATGAGATACCAGTGTACACCCACCAGAATGGCCCAAACAGGGAGTGCACAGAAGTGGAACACTGGGATTTCTCACTTTGCAGTGGAGATGAGTAACAGCATAATCACCATGGAAAACAGGCATTCTGTATTAAAGCACCCTCTACAAACCAAGAATCCCACCAAGAAACAGAAAGAATGATTCAAGAAACAAATGTGAGAATGTTAACATATTGGCAGGAGTGCTGGCTCATGCCTCTCATGTCAGCACTTTGGGGGGGTCAAAGTAGGAGGATCACTTGAGCCTAGGAGTTTGAGACCAGCCTGGGTAAAAGAGGGAGACCTTGACTCTACAAAAAACGTGAAATGTACCCAGGCATGGTGGCACACACCTGTAGTCCCACCTGGGTGAAAGGATCTGCTTGAGCTGGGAGGTCAAGGCTGCAGTGAGCCATGATCGCACCATTGCCCTCCAGCCTGAATGAAAGGGCAAGGCCTCTGACTCAAAAAGAAAGGTAACATATTTACTATAACCTAAGTCTGAAAACAACTTACATGTCCATCAACAAGTAGAATGAACACGTTGTTGTATATTCGAACAAAAGTATACTATATATGGAATAAAAATCAAAGAACCTAATAATGGGATGAACCTCAGAAACCCAAAGGTACATACTGTCTAATTCCACTTACATGAAATCCAAGAACAGACAAAATTAAAATTATGTTGGGCAGGGACAAGCACTTGGTATAAGACGATCAGAAGTAAGATGGTGACAACCACACAGCCTGAAAACCACACACTTTTCAGAGAAATGAGTCAGCATTTGGGAGGGTTCTCCATGATCCCGGCTAAGGCTTGAATGGCTGTGACATGGTTTTCTCTGTGATCAATTACAGACACGTACTGGGTACTTTTATATATATGTTACATATCACAACTGAAAAAGGCTTTACAGTGAGTAAGCTGCTATCTGATCAAGTTAATGCCCCTCAGCCATATGATACGTTAGTAGAGAGACAAAGTAACACAACTGTGTAAGCTCACTCCTAAACAAAAGGGGTGCTGAAAGCAGTAACTGTTTTAAAAATAAAAAACCATGTTCAATGTCCTGCGGCCGTTTTCCTCAGGACAACTGCTACCTCTTGTTTTAAGCTGCCATGTTAGAAAGACAATGGTCTAAAATACGAGAAGAAGAAAAAGCCCACCCAGCTTGAGATTTCATATAGATCAAAGTTGAACCGGGATCTTGACTGATTCTGGGTCCAGGAAGCTAGAACCATAGTGAGTAAGGTAACTTAGACTCAAAAACCCAAAGCTCATTAAGAAGACAAGTTTCATTCCAATTTGGGACACACTACAGACAATGCCTACAAGGAAGTGCTCAGGTTGACTCCAGGAATTTTGCATCCCACTAACATCAACCAACCAGAGGACTCTGGAGAGTCTTCCCGTATCGATCTCTGCCTCCTGAGCTTCTGGAGGCACCAGGACTTTGTAAAATTTCCTTTCGGTACTTAACAAGGATTACTAATGGAAAAATCTTCCTTAAATATATCCCAAATATAGCCTGGTGCAGTGGCTCATGTCTGTAATACCAGCACTTTGGGAGGTCGAGGCAGGTGGATCACCTGAGGTCAGGAGTTCAAAACCAACCTGGCCAACAGGACGAAACCCCATCTCTACTAAAAATACAAAAATTAGCTGGGTGTTGTGGCATGCGTCGATGGTCCCAGCTACTCGGCAGGCTGAGGCAGGAGAATCACTTGAGCCCAGGAGGCAGAGGTTGCAGTGAGCTCAGTAAGCTGAGGTGACACTGCACTTCAGCCTGGACAAAAGGGCAAGACATGGTCTCCAAAAAGGAAATTATATATATATTTGAGTCATATGTATCTGACCCAAATTTCTTCTGATTTGGATTATCTTCATTTTTCATCTATGCTACCATCAGTGGAAATGGCAAATAACTGGTCTTCCTTTGTAAAGTATTCTTTGAAATTAAGAGGCAAGAATAGGTTAGACAAGAACAATAAAACTTTACTCAGTAAAAGTCCTTTAAGACAACATACCCATTATGCCAGGCCAGGCTAACTCTTCATGATCATCCCGTTCCTTTCCTGGCGCCAGGTGGTTGAACCGATCCAGATGCTCCAACAGGCCGCCCAGCAGAGGCACAGCTCCAGCCTCTTGCATGAGACCAGCATTTTTACTGAGCAGAAGCACTACAGAAACTACTAGTTCTGGAAGGAGAACACCTGCGTTTAAGAAATAATAAGATTTAAATAAGCACTTAACCTATAACAGCTATTTGTAAACTTGTTCTGTGTTTAAATTCTGCTAAGTCACAAAACAAGAAATGTTCACCCTTTAGCATATTTCTACAGGATTATTTTATATTTTATGTTGAAAGAGACGGTATTGCTTTCAAACAGAATACTTTAAATTACAACAAGATTTTCCAAAACACTGTATTTCAATAACAGAACTATGAACTAAACACTCTTCTATTCAGAAAATTAATTGCTGATTGATGTTTATCATCAGAAAAAAACACTCAAAAATAATGTTCTAACTTCAAAAAATTAACTTTAAAACATACCAGATAATATCAGAATTTTTAAGATCCTTAAAGAGGTACCTAATTTTTATTATGCTATCAAAATAAAATTAGACAATTACTATTGAAGTGTCGATAATGGAAGTATAAATCTAAATTACCAATTATATTTAAACCGATCTGAGTCCCATGCCAGCTGGTTAACAACAGAACTGTAACTCAAAAAAAAAAAAAAAAAAAAACAAAGGTGAAAGGGCAGGAGGACCAGAAGATTCAGAGAGTAAATGCAGGCAGGCTGATCAGGAAAGAAGACACTTTAGTTTTCATCTATCTCCTAAGACACACACGTCGACAAGCAGGAAACAAAAGGTACCGGTAAAGTCCCCTTCCACAATGCAAGCCACCTCTGCAAAGTGCCGCCAGCTGGTGGACGCAACGCTGGCCGCCACAGGCAGTATATCTCCAATGTGCGTGCACAGAAGGGCCGTGTACTTCTTCAGCAAGGAACCAACGCCCATCAGCTCCGGATCTTGAAGAAGGATTGAGAAATTCTCATTTTCACTATTAAAAATTTTATCTGTAAACAAACTGCTCCATGATTCTACTCTCATCTACACGTCTATATACCTGTAGTAATTTTCTCAAACAGCAGCCTGTTACTCCTTAGTCCTTGGCTCTTTCTCTATCATGCAACTGGAGGGACAGTGCTTCTATGTCAAGTTTTATACCCTGCACTACAGATTACCTAGGCATTTTGGGTATATAAATACTAAAGTCATAATCTAATTCAAATATATGTTTTTTTGTTTTGTTTTGTTTTGTTTTTTTGAGACGGAGTTTCACTCTTGTTACCCAGGCTGGAGTGCAATGGCACGACCTCGGCTCACCGCAACCTCCGCCTCCTGGGTTCAGGCAATTCTCCTGCCTCAACCTTCTGAGTAGCTGGGATTACAGGCACGCACCACCATGCCCAGCTAATGTTTTGTATTTTCAGCAGTGACGGGGTTTCACCATGTTGACCAGGATGGTCTCGATCTCTTGATCTCGTGATCCACCCGCCTCGGCCTCCCAAAGTGCTGGGATTACAGGTTTGAGCCACCGCGCCCGGCCTAATTCAAATATATGTTTTTAAGAAATGAGGTTCTCACTATGTTGCCCAGATTGGACTCAAATTCCTGGACTCAAGTGATCCTCCTGCTTCAGCCTCCTGGGCAGTTAGAACTACATGTGTGTACCACCACACTCAGCTCTGAATTTTTAAAACTTTACATCCAGTATACAAATGTTTGTTTACCAGAAGCTTGTAAAGTATCCCCAAAAAACAAAGTTAGGCACTTTCTGCTAATTTCCTGAATTTTTAGTAGAGACAGGATTTCACTATGTGGCCAGGCTAGTCTTGAACTCCTAACCTTGTGATCCGGCCTCCCAAACTGCTGGGAATACAGGCGTTAGCCACCGCACCCAGACTCCTACATGGCTCTTAATAGCTTTTCAGTCCTTATGACTTTGTCTTTGAGACAGTCGCCTTCTGTTTCAAACTATCAACTCACCTACTGAAACTTGAAAGTTTCCATTACTGACAAGAGCCTAACCCTTCAGGAAGTAATTAAGTTACTTTGGAAAGAATACAGCTACAAAAATACTAACACCAGCAACAGACCTTTCCATCCTTGACAGAGACAGCTCCATGATGGAGGGCTAGCTGCCACCCTGGGTGCTCGAGCAAGGGCACCATTCCTTTGACAGTGCACAGCACTGAGCACTTACACTCCATTCTATTCCGATCCTCGCAGGCTACCTCAGGAGTATCCCAAGTCTGCAGGTGAGAAAGCTTTGGCCCCATCAGACTTAGTCTAATGTCTGAACTATTAAGCAGAGCTGTAACTGAGGCCCAGACTTCCTCCAACGATTCCTCCCACTCCACCCAGCTGGCTCCCTCATGTGACACAAATAGGCTGTCACCGTGTACTTCCTACACCATGCTAGTCTCGACCATTCCATAGTACTTGGAACAAACCTGACGAATCTTCTGTAAGACTAAACTGAACATCCAGGATGCTATTACTGATGTCTAAAGAATTTAAATATTAAGACAACAAAATTAAAAATATTAACAAGGCTAATATAGAAAGGTCCAACCCAAAAAAGTGGATGCAAAATGAAGCCCCCACATTGGTGCATTTAGGAGTGTAACAACTACACATCTGGGCATACAGGATGGACACATCAAAAAGCCTAAATTAACAAGCCCAAAGTACACACAAGACATTTTTCACATTTTAAGCAACTTACCAGAAATATCTGAGGTCTCACCAAGACTTTCTCCTGGATAAAGTTTACTAATAAGCAAACGTTGAAAACGCAATAATAAATCCAACGAAGCAGATCTTTCACGACTGTGCTGCTCAAAGTCCAGACATGATGAAATCCGACGGGCAACATCTTTCAATCTGGCTACAGTCTGAGAAGCAATGTTTCTATCCAGGAAAAAAGAGGATTACAAAATTAAACAAGTCATTTCTATTAAAAAGGAAAAGGGATGGGGTAAATCATGACAAACTAACATCACAAACACAGATCACACATGAAGATGACCTGCAGCTGGCTTCCCTCCCCAAGTATGTGTCCAGTGTTTCTACAATAAGCGTAACCTCAGCCAAAATGCAGCAGAAGAGTACGGAAGACTCAAAAGAGATAAAGATGCCCTCCTGCTTCACTCATGTGCTCATATGGAGCTGCCTGCAGTGGTCCAAACTGCAGAGGATCTTGCTTCAAAATGA